ACATACACAAATTCAAAAAAGAATCTACAGAGTCACACCTCAGGTCCTCCCTCTCATTCCCAGATCTATTCACAGACAGGGTAGCCAGGCCCCCTTTAATAATCAGCCCTCACTCACACAGAGCTATTGGGGTGGGGGCTCAAACGTTCCAATCTCTCGCTGCCACCATTAATTTGTATCCTGTAATGTATGTAAATATACTGAGACATTAAATTGTGTGTGTTCCTTTTCCTTAGAAATGGAGACCACAGGGCTTTCAAAATAAGAAACTATTATTTATAAGAACAAAATGCTGGGGAAAGTAAGGTCTAAGAAACTTCCATTGAACTTTTGGACTAAGGTCCTATAGTTCCTTTAGTTACAAATTTACTATTTTCAGCCTGTTCCAAGCAGCTCTTCTATAGAGGTCCCCTGAGTCAAAAACCCCTCTTTTCACCTCAGCACTTAAGCTGTCCACTTGTCTGATGCTAACCTGCTATCATATTTCAACTCCTGTTTTCCAAGTCTCTCCATCTCAACCTCTCAACATTTCGTCAGCTCTCATCGGTTGCTGTTGGAGAGAAATGGAACCTAGTGTGTCCATCGCACAGATTAAACAACAACAATGGGCATGCCTTTATTACTTCTCCACAGACACTAATATTTGTGGACAAATGGGCATTACCTAATATTGTCGCTGGAATTAACTAACTCCATTAAATAATATTGTTGGAAGACTAACATTAGAGTAATCCACTTCTTGAAACAATCCCTGAAACCAGATGCTTGTAATGTTGCAGTCATAAAATTCCACTCACTCCTTTCAAAAGCCTTCTCTGTATCAGTGAAGTAGAATGCCACTGGGGGGTGGGTGAGTTGGTCCTTAGATAAGTCAATGAAGTTTCTCATTTTCCTGATATTCCTGTGTGAATGTATGTATTTCTAACTGTACCCTAATACATGATCTGGAACATTCCTAAATTATGGAAAATTCACATCTAAGGTATCTCTGATAATGAAAAAGACTTATCATCCCTTGAAGACGAGTGAGTTGTTCAATATCCAGTCTCAGTTATTTTAGCTGTCTGAGTCTGATAGTGAAACCCCATGGCAGCATGACTGGGGTTTTTGCCACATCACCACAATGGGCCAGCATGTGTGTGTGTGTGTGTGTGGTGTTAAAGAAACAATCAATCATTGAATGTGCTTATGTCAGTATTAATAGAAACTGAACTGCTTTGATGCAGACAGCAATATTAATATAAATCTACCAAAGAAAAATCATCAGAAAAACTTTGGGTATCTGAGTATAACTATTCTTACAGTGAAGTTTTTGATATCTCCTGATATCCTGATATACATCATCCATCCATTGGAATATCCTGATATACATCATCCATCCATTGGAATAGTTGTCCTATTAGAGAGCTATAAAAAGACCTCAGCAGGTTCTGCTACTTTTGTTGTTCTGCTCTAAAGGTAACCTATTCAATAAAGTTTAAGGTTCTGCAAAATGTTTACACATATCATACTTGCCTGCTGTTAAGGCAATGCCATCCTTGCAATAAGGGAGGCATTGCTATGGGTATCAAGGCAAACAAAAGGGTACCTCAGACCCTTCCAGTATAATATATTTAATTACCAATTTATTGATAGTTCACCTGATCTATTGTAGGATTAATGGGGACAAGTGAAAGGGAGTAAGGGTGGATGTGTGCTGTTCAACTGCTCCCCCAGGTAAGGGACCTTAACCAACCCCTCTACTCTCTGAGGTAGGTAGGAGTAGCCATTTGAAATGAGGTAAAGAAATCCTCAGACTTCATCAGTAGCCACAAAATGTAAAATACAAACTATAAAGACTGATACAGACAACTCCAGAATCAAATGCCTATTATTGAAGAAGGATTACATAGGTACAGTATTTCTATTTTATAAACAAGGGCAAAGACCAAACTTTAACTTTAGAATAAATGGAATTTACATGCCTACCTGACTGATTGCTGCTTCTTCAACAATTATGGCTGAATCACCTGTTATTAACAAAGGATCTGGTTGATCACGAGCCTGCTGTGGTGCCAGGGTATTTGTGCAGCTTCCAATAGGAAAAAGAATCTGGCTTTTCCGAGAGCCCGAAGTTAATGAAACCTCATGGCAATAGGAGCGAAGAAATGCTCGAACTCCGTCGATCCCGACAAACTGAGAGACAGGAACACCAGTGAAATTCACACTTCCAGAATCACACAACTGAGAATTCCTCCACTTGCGAAGTCTGAGTGCCAGCAACACAAGAAGGAAGGTGAAAAACAAGCAGGAGACAAAAGCCACAGCAACCACCAGGTAGAAGGTGAGGTCCGACTGGGGGTCTGCAGGTGCTGAGATGCTGCTAATATCAGAGAGGCTTTCAGGGATGCTGTCAGCCAGCACCACAGTGACCGTGACTGAGGCTGAGAGAGGGGGCTGCCCATTGTCCTTCACTAAAACCACCAGGCTTTGCTTGAGAGCATCCTTGTCCAGAAAGAAGCGGGCCGTCCTGATCTCTCCAGTGTGGAGTCCTATGGAAAAGAGCCCTGGCTCCGTGGCCTTGAGTAACTGATAGGAGAGCCATCCATTCTGCCCAGAGTCTGCATCCACCGCCACCACCTTAGTGACCAGATATCCAGGCTCAGACAAGTGGGGGGCCAGCTCTACTCCAGTAGAGCCGTCAGTGGGGACAGAAGGGTACAAGATTTCTGGGGCATTGTCATTCTGATCGAGGATGAAGAGTGTCACTGAGACATTGGATCTGAGTGATGGGGAGCCTCCATCTTGGGCCTGGACTAGGAAACTAATCTCATGGAACTCTTCGTAGTCAAATGAGTTTAAGGCATAAATAATCCCTGTTTCAGAATTAATGGACAGGTATGATGAAAGAATGGACTTTTTGTGTCCTTCAACAATTGAATAAGTTATTCTGGAATTTTCTTCCCAGTCTGGATCATTTGCTGTTAAAGAAAATATTGAGGCTCCTCTGGGATTATTCTCTAGGAAATAAGACACGTAGGATGGTTCTGCGAATACAGGAGCATTGTCATTTCTGTCTAGAATTTGCAGTGAGATATGGGCAGACATAGAAAGTGATGGAGTGCCATTATCAGCAGCAGTAATGATGACATTATAGTTTGTTACCCTCTCCCTGTCAAGGTTGTCATATGTCACTAAACTATAAAAGTGGTCAACAGATTTCTTCAGCTGGAAAGGCAGTTTGCTTGGAATTGAGCATGTGACCTCACCATTGACTCCTGAATCTCTATCTTGTACATTTAAGAGAGCAATAACAGTGCCTACAGGAGAGTTTTCGGGTATGGTATTGATTAAAAAGTTTATTGCTAATTCAGGGGCGTTATCATTCAGATCCATAACAACAATCACAACTTGTGACCAGTCACTAAGCCCTCCCCCATCCTCAGCGTTCACCTCGAAGTCGTATAATGAAGACTCCTCATAATCAAGGTTGCCTACAAGTGTTATGATACCGGTTGTTGAGTTTAAAAAAAATATTTTAGAATCTTTCTCTGTGATTTTTTTGAATGAGTATTTTATTTCCCCATTTATTCCTTCATCTACATCAGTGGCTCTTATAGTGGCTACAGTGGACCCTTTAGGAATGTTTTCCTCAACATTAACTTTGTAGACTGGCTGGATGAAAGTTGGTGCATTGTCATTTGCATCCAGAACGATAACTTGGATTTGAGTAGTGCCAGATCTCACTGGATTGCCCCCATCAGTAGCTGTAAGGATTAGGTCATGAACTGGTTGCTGTTCCCTGTCCAGACTTTTTTCCAACACCAGTTTGACATGCATAGCACCAGTTTCTCTTGTTTGCACATCCAAAGAGAAATGGCTACTCCCCGTGAGATGGTAGCTCTGTATAGAATTTATACCCAGATCTGGATCTTGAGCTTCAGGAAGAGGAAACTGGGACCCTAGCATAGATGACTCACTAATTTTCAGTTTCTGTTTCCCTGATGGGAACTGTGGAGCATTATCATTTATATCAACAATTTCCACTTCAACTCCATAGATCTCTAATTTACTCTCAATAATAACCTGGAAATTTAACATGCAGTCCTCTGCCCTTCCACAAATTTCTTCTCTGTCTATTCTCTCTGAGATTTGTAAATGGCCACTGATAACATTCAAAGTAAAATATTGACTTGTACCTATTCGGGAGACAATCCGGAGTCCATGTTCTGAAAGATGCTTTCCATCCATTCCTAGATCTTTTGCAATATTCCCCACAAAAGAGCCTTTCTGCATCTCCTCAGGAATGGAATAGTGGATCTGCGCAAAAACTGCCTTCCAAATGAACATCATGATAAAGCATTGCAGGATTGTTTCGTTATTGTTCCACAGCCTCTGAGTTTCTTTCATTTCTTGGAAGCAGGATAAAAAACACTGATTCTAGCTCAAAACCCTTTTGGATTTGCAACTAATTTTGGTTTCAAAGCAAGTGTTTCGTTCCCTGAAATGTCTGTAGAAGTCTGATCTCTCCGTTGTACTTACCTATTAAAGAACTGCAAGACTGTGTTAGCTGGAATCAGGTTGGTGAACAGCGGCACCCAGAGTCTCAGCTAAAAACTGCAGATGATTATTACTATAATGGCAATTTCATGACGACATTCTAAAATTCTTCTTTTGCTTTTATGCATGGGCAAGAGTCTACATTTTTACTGGGGACTATGTCCCTAAAAACTGCTCTGAAGACATAACAGGATTTTTACTGACTTTATCACTTTCATAAATGCAAATTTATATTTATGCCCCTGCAATAGCATCTCCGCTTAATAAGAAAGGTGGATGTTGTTTCCTGGGGCAGTAGCCATTCACTAGAATCTCAGTGTCCCACACTTCAATCCAATTTATCCACAACTCACTATTGCAAATGGAGTATCTGTCATTAACTAATGTTTTCATTCCATTTGCTTACTCTGTAGCCTCGCAATTTATATAATCTCATCTTGGCCAGTGGGTATAACTGTAACACAATTCATATTAGCAATTCAAAATCTGTGTCTGAGTTGATGGGGCTATTGATGGAGATAGTTATGCATTTATATTCCACATTTCCCAACTATCCGCTTTTGACTAAGATGGCTTATAAAGGTCAGCCATGCAAACAACAAAAAATTAAAGCACAAAGCAAACAATCACTAATATCAACAAACCAAATCTACACCCTAGGAACCATAAGACCCTCCATAACCCTTAGTCACCACCTGTGGTCAACAGAGTGCTTATGAGACTTGGCTAATGTGAGGGTAGGAGTCCAAGCAACAAGATACTGTTGAAATTGTTCAGGGAGACCAATCCAAAGCTTTGATCATACAAATGTTGTGATAGTTCTACTTATTAATAATTATCATATGACAGTGTGAGTAGTATAGCCAGGAGATCCTAAGATTTGTCTGGCAGCCAGAAGTTCTAGCTCTTTTTAAGCACTGCACCACTAGGTGGTGAGCTAGGCTTGTTTTTTAAGGCAAGAGACATTTCAGAGGTGGTTTGCCATTGTCTGCCTGTTCGTCACACCCTTGGTACTCCTTGAAAGTCGCCCATTCAAATACTAGCCCAGGCCGACCCTGCTTAGCTTCCAAGATATGACAAGATCAGGCTAGCCTGGGCTATCCAGGTCAAGGTGATAGTTCTACTACCTGAACTGCATCCAAAGTGAAATCCAGGTTTGATCAGATCAGAGAGATTGTATCAACAAAGAAGTGCACAAAGTCATCACAACTTATGGTCACATTCCTATGGGTTGTCAAATTCTGAATTATGCTAATTAATCAAGTCGAGTATGATTCAGCTGGCATGATGACAGCAGGGGGAAAAACGTTTTCTTCACTGTTATCACCACCATCTCATAGTTCAGTAGGACTCAGGCATGACTGACTTCTTAAAATAATGTGCCACATTTAATTAATGAGAAACTCAGTAGATAACAGTTTCAGAGGATAACACTCAATGGATAACAATATTTATTGTACAACACATGTTAACATTGTCAGAACAAAGTGTCTCAAATGTCAAGGTTCATTATAAGAGACTCTTTATACTTTTCTGTATATTCCAAAGTACCTTGAATAATAAGGTCAGCAGCTACTTTGCCGACCAAACATGAAGCCTTGAATTTCTTCTTGATTCAGGAATATTCCGCCAAACACCAGGTCATTGCAATACTCTGGTCCATAGCTGACTCAGTTTCGTCTCCTACATCTATTACCAACAACTGTCTCCGGCCTTCTTAAACTTCCAGTTCGCTCATCTCATTTCACTTGTATTAAAGTTAGGTTATAAACAAACTTGCTTATTTATTTAAAGCATTTATATCCAGCCTTATCTCCTCAGACTCAAGGTAGCTAACTATGCAACACTAGGCTACATTGCACTGAAGGACTCACCAACCTTTTTTGCTTATGTTCCTCTTTAATATATGAAAATGATATTATATGAACATTTGAAGCTGCCGTATGCTGACGCAGACCATTAGCTCTCCAACATTTCAGGTGAACTTTTTTTCCTGCCCCACTACCAGAGACATTTTTTATTGTAGATGCTGGGGATGGAACATGGGATCTTCTACATGCACAACAGGTTACAGACCTAGGCTGAGCATGAAATTTTAGAATAAACTGAGCTCTGAAAACCACAAAATTTGGGCCACTGGGAGAGCCAAAGAACAGCCTCTGTCCTCTTAATATACAAAGGCACCGAGAACTTACCATTGTTAAAAATAAAGAGATTTCCCTGGGAACTGCATCCTCTATTACAGAGGTATAGAAGATGTATCTTGGTGGTTGCACGGTTGCCCACCAACACAATTGATGTGGTCCATGGACCCCACTACCATTTCAGGTGGCTCAGCAAGTGTTGCTGGACTCCATGCCCCTAACTGGCTACAACTTCAAGCAAGGCCAGCTCAGTGGTGTCAGGGTAGCTGGATGCTAATGAAGCTGTATCAGAAGAGATAGATGGCAGTTCCCAAGCAAGCTGCCAAGAGACACAGACACCTACGGTGGTTGTCAGGGGAACTTCATGGATTCCTAAGCTCTTACTAGA